AAATGTTCAAGACACTTGAATTTGTTATGCTGATGGAACTGTCAGATAATTGTGACCTAGAAGCCTCTGACTGTCTTTTCCTGTTAAGTGTTTCTTCTTAAGAGAACAGACCTGGAAAGGCTTCATGTAATAAAACATGTGGCTGCTTTTCAGTACTCACTGGTATTTTAGCCAGGGCAGAAAAGCAGGAATAGTTCTAATTTCCTAATTAGGCAGCCAGGTGCTGTGGAGCAGAACCACCACTTTCCTGGGACAGAGGAAGGTCCCAAGCTGAGGCTCAGTACTGGGCTGCCACTGACTGCTGGCTGCATGTTGCTTCACATCATCAATCACAGGGTTTATTTTGCCTCCTTATTCTCCCTAAAAGGCTTATGATACCTGTTTAGCCATAAATTGGAGCACAGTTTGGAACATAAATTGGAACATAAATTGGAAATGCTGTGTGAACGATGAGGTTTGATCAGATTCTGCATTGGTCAGAATCTGCACCTTGGTACTCAGTCAAGTGTGTACTGCACTCACAACACCAATATTTCCTGTGTTCTTCACCCAGAGGCTGTGCCAAAGCTGGGGAAAGTGTGCTGGTGCATGGTGCCAGTGGCGGGGTAAGTGTTCCAAGGAGGCAGGTGATAGGGAATGCTGCTCTCTGTCCTTGCATCTGCTTGGGGTATGAGTTATGGTCACATTTAGATCAATAAAGGAATTAGCAAATTAGGTGTTTATTTCAGACACTCTGGGATACACTTGCTTAGAGCAAACTCTGTTATTCACAATAACTGTGAAACTGCACAAGTGCTGGTGTGAGGTCCCCAGTCAGAGGGTCACACACTGAACAGATGGAAGTTGATGTGGAAGCTTTGTAGTAGGTCTAACTCAGGCAAAACTGATAGCAGAAACGTGTAATTTTCCAATATGTACAAGTTGTTCTGAGTCCTCTGAGAAGAAATCAGCAGTGCAGGGCAACTGTGCATTTCTGGGATGTTTCTACCCGTGAGCTGACAGCCAACTGCACAGGGAGAGGCACTGGAATGGATAAAGCTGTGACTGAATACTGTGTGAAATTGCACTTCTAATTTTCTTTAGTTTTACATGACAGGCTAATTTTAGATCTCTCTCACATAATATTCTAGTTTAATTTATCTTCCACTCTGTGCCCTTTCTTGCTCGGTTTCTGCTGATGCACCAAACAGCTGCTATGAACAGGCAAAATTTCAAAGTTTTTTTAATTATTTGTTAGACAACAAAAAGATAAATTCAGATCTTATTCTGAGATACTAGAATGACATTTAGCATCATTGCCTCTTTTATTTTCATGAACTAAATGTGGTGCTTCTGTTTTTACTGGAGTGCAAAGCTGATAGAAGACACTGAGAATTTGCTTTAGAAAGAGATAATTTAATTTGTTTGTGAAAGGTGCAGAAGTGGTTTTAATAAAATTTGTGTCTGCAGATTTTCTTTGCAATGTATAATGCTGGTATCAATAGCAGATGATTCTGTGAAGAGAAGAATTTCCCTGGCTTTGTATCAAAAATGTATGGCCCAGCTTTGACAGATAGACAGCATTCTACATTGATTTATATCAAATGCTGATAACTATTAAAAAAGATCAAAACTTTACCATGCTTCTGTAAATCTTTGTTCTTTTTAAAAGACTATTTTTCTGTCTTTAAAATCCAAATTACTTATTATGGTTAAAACACATGTTACCAGACCAACTTTTTAAATGGGGAAGTTCCAATTTGCTGGTAGAATAATTAAAATTTAAAATGCTAAATGGGTAAAATAGTTTTCTTTTTTATTTTTCTTTTTTTCTCTTTTGTTTTTTATTTCTCCCCTCAGGTGGGACTAGCAGCATGTCAGATTGCCAGAGCTTGTGGTTTGAAGGTTTTGGGTACAGCAGGAACTGAGGAGGGCATGAATGTGATCCTGAGAAACGGCGCTCACCAAGCCTTTAATCACAGAGACCCTAATTACATCGAGAGAATTAAGGTAGGCATGATGTCGAGGCTAGAGGATGCAGGTACTAACAAACAAGCTGTTGTTTGCTGAAGATTTTAAAGGGGATTTATGTAGGAGCAATAGTGTACTGCCTTTTTAATTTCTACCCAAGATAAAACTTTCCCAGGCTGGAAAAGCAGAGCTTTCCTCACAGGCAGTGTCATTTAGAACTAACATTCAGCAAATTCCAGTGTGGGAGCACACCATAAGTCAGCACAGCAAAATGTGCTACAGTTCAGCTCATTAGCTGTCAGCTGTAGTACAGAGGCTGTATTGAAAATTTAAACAATAGCCTGTAAAATGGATGTTTCCTGTAGTGTATGAAATAAACAGTGGTACCTGAGCACTAAAAGAACATCCTGTGTCTTGTACAGGAGTGCACAGGGCCGGGGGGAGTGGATATCATCATAGAAATGCTCTCCAATGTCAACCTGGATGCTGACTTGCAGCTGCTGGCCCATGCAGGGAGGGTGATGGTGAGTGTGTCCCTGCCCAGAGGATGATGGTGAGTGTTTGTGTCCCTGAGCAGGGAGGTGATGGTGGGTGTTGGAGTCACTGCCTTAGTTTGTGCATTCTGCATCACAATTGTACAGCTCTTATTTTGGACTTGTTTGGGCAGGTTGTGGGCTGCAGAGGACGCATTGAGATAAACCCAAGAGACACTATGAGCAAGGAGTCAAGCATAATTGGAGTGAGTCTGTTTCTTGCAACTGAGGTGAGAAACATTTCTGTATTAAAGTATGCTTTGTTGGCTTGTTCCAGCACTCCTCTATTTCAAGTTAAAATCCTTTGTAGGGATGAAAGCATAATTTCACTTTAACTAACTTGTTTGTTCATTTTTTTATGTTTTGATTCAATCTCAGAACACAGTAAAATATTTTTGGGTTGTGGAATTTGGTTTAACACTTGAATAAATTGTCAATGCAATTCTAAAATGGAAAGACTTTGTTGTAAATGCTATGTTTGTTACATGCAGGAGGAGAGGCATGAATGTGCCATGGCGCTCCTTGATGGCATAGAAGCTGGCTGGCTGAAACCCACTGTAGGCTCGGAATATCCCCTGGAGAAAGTAGCCAAGGCTCATGAAGACATTATTTGTAGCAGTGGTGCCCGAGGAAAGATGGTGCTCCTTCTATAAAGGAGAACCTTTTTCCATTTATTTTGTAGCTGCTTTGACTGCACCTTTGCTTACATGGTTCACTGAATGTATGTTATAAGGATACTTTTGATCAGGTTTGACAGTAGAAAGTGCTCACTTACATGAATTAATTAACAAGCTGCTTCTTTTTGTAATGAGCAGAGTTTCATTTTCTGTAAAGTAATTTTGGTAACTTTTTTGACTGATGTGTAAATAATAAATTTTTTCCTGCTTGTGTGGCATGGTGCTGCAAGGGAAGGCAGAGTTTGGTATCATGTTCTGTGTGAAGGCAGAGTTAGGCCACTCTAGGTAGTGCAGAATGAAGCTGCTTTTTACAGATACACAAAATTAAATAACTTGCTGTGTGTGTTAATTAGAACTGTAAATTCTTTTAGCCACAAAATCGGTCTTAAAGTTTGTCACACAATTTACTTGAAATAAAAGCTTTTACTGACAAAATAGTTCATTTTCCAGCTCAAAAGATGGGTAGAATCTCTCAAACGAACTGTTTGGAGCAGAGGTACTTTCACTTGGCTGTGCCTGCCTCAGGGTCTGAGGTGACAGTGTCCTGGCTCATCCACAGGGACTGTCACTCTGCAGATCCATGTTGGTATTCCTCTCTGGAACTGATGATAGTTATTCCTGGATGGTAAATGGCTGGTCGTGAAGATTTCAGTTCTTGCTGTGACCTTTATTAAAGTCTCCTGGGTCCCTGGCTGCATGGAGAGCAGGGCTGCATGGCTCTTGTGGCATGGAGACTTCCTGTAAAATTCCTGAGCCCCATTCTCTGGAATGGGCAGACTGTGCCGTTACACTGAGTCATTTCATTGTCTCTTGTTCTCATAAACCTTAAATCCATTGCCTGGGTGCAGTGGGATCCTTCCTCCCTCCAGGCTGCCCCAGGGGAACAGAGTTAGTTTCCTTGTTTGTTGCACTTCCCCACAGGAGTAGGGAGCTGCGTTTCTATGTGAAAGGTTTAAGAGTGATTCACCTGGTGTAAGTGATGTGAGTGGGTAGTTCCTCAGCTGCTTATCCAGGTGAAAGGTGCTGACTGTTCCTGTTCGTGTTCACTGGGGCAGAATGCAGCCTGAGCAGTGATGGTGTGTTGGGAACCTGCTTGATAATGTTGTTAGAGAAAGTAAAACATTTTTAATATCGAAGTACTAAATAGAGGTTAAAAATAATGGTTAATGATTGATCATGGAGATGATGTGCATGTAAAAGTATACATTTTCCTTATACTCTGTATGTCTTTGTTTAAATATTATTTTTGATTCAGCTTTTTAATTTAGTCGGGGTATTACATGAATGGGAGGTGATGGTTTGCAGTGTCTCCTTTCTTGCTTAGTGCTGCTTCTGCACTGTGGCTGATGTTTAGAAGTGAAATTCAGAACAGTTCTCGGTTCTGTCCTCATTGCTGCTGTCTCCAAGGGCTGTGTTTGTCACAGGGCTTGTCACCAGAAGGTGTCAGAGCAGTTCTGTGTTATCACACTGCAGCTGCTCTTTGCCAGGTGATCTGGCAGAATGGCTCAGCAGGACTGAGACTGACTTGTGAAGGAATGTCATGTAATGTTTATTCTTCTGTCTGTTTGTGATGTACTGTACCAATGGAAGGGGTTGTTTTAATTTTGGGAAAAGTAGTGTGAATAGAACTAATGATGTAGGACTGAGGTGTGTCTGATGTGTGTAAGCCACCCATCTAGAGAATGTCACCCTGGAGAGTGCTTGGTTTGTCTCTCTTTTTGGGACATGCTGCCCCTTGGCAATGCAGAAAAGGATGGAGGAAGAGGATGGGGATCTCAGACAATTGAATTGGGCAGAATAATTAGGTCAGATTGTTGAGTAGCTTCTCCTATTTGATTGGATGGATTTTGGAGGTAGTGGTTCCCAGTGGCAGGCTGCTTGGTGCTGCTGTGAGTGGTTGGAAAGGTTGCACAGGCTCTTGTGTTTGTGCTGGCCTTGGCATCTGTAGGAGAGGTTTGGGGTTCAAAGTAAGGAGTTACATACAGTGCCAGAGTCTGGAAGCTGCTGTTCTATGTGTTTCTGAAACAGAAAAGAGTGGAATTGTTCTGAAAAGCAGCTGCTCTTGGCTAATCTCAATGTCCCCAAAACTAATGCTGCCTATGCTTTCTAGTCGTTAAAAATGCCATCCCCTCTCCCTTGTAATTTTCCCCTGTATCTGTTCCTGACTTCTTCCTGTGGTGCAGGACGGTACAATAAATTAATGGGACTTCAATTATAGGGCTGGAAAGATAAAATATGAAGAGAATATTGATGTTCTTAATAGTTGCTCCCTTTACAGAAGGCAGATCAATATTGAGTGTGGGTGGATCATGCCACAGAAGGCCTGAGGGTGGTCAAGTCCTTTAACATTTTGGAGCAGGTGCATCATAGGGGAAGGTTGTCCCCGGTCTTCCTCATCATGGGGGTCTCCATTCAGATCAGTTGCTCTGTGGCCCCTGGAAACATCACCTGTGAGTTTGTGCTTCAGCTGGGACTCATCCCCCTTGCTGGCCTGAGTCCAGGGCTGTGGGTCTGTGCCAGGGCCTGTCCCCAGCAGTGTCCTGTGTCCCCGAGGTGGTGACAGAGTGGCACATCGGCCACATCTGGAGTGCTGTGTCCAGTTCTGGGCTCCTCAGGACAAGAAAGACAAGAGTTATTGGAGAGGGTCCAGTGGAGGCCACAAAGATGATGGGTCTGGAGCATCTCTGATGAGGAGAAACTGCGGGAGCTGGGCCTGGGAAGGCTGAGAAGGGATTTCATCAATCTCTATGAATACATCCAAGGGGGGTGCGAAGAGGATGGTGCCAGACTCTTTTCAGCAACAGGATGCGGAGGAGCAATGGCCATAAACCAAAACACAAGAAGTTCTACCTCAACACGAGGAAAAACTTCCTTCCATGGAGGTGGCAGACCCTGGAACAGCTGCTCAGGGTGGGTGTGGAGTCTCCCTCTCTAGAGACATTCCAACCCCCCCGGACATGTTCCTGTGTTACCTGCTCCAGGTGACCCTTCCTGGGTAGGGGGGTTGGACTGGGTGATCTCCAGAGGTCCCTTCCACGCCCAACTATTCTGTGATTCTGTGACGCCAAGGGGCAGCGGGGGTGGCGGGCGGAGCGCCGGCTCCCTTCTTCCCTCCCTCCCTCTCCCTGTCTCCCTCCCTCTCCCTGTCTCCCTCCCGCCCTCCCTCCCGCCGTCTCCTGGCGACGCCCGGGACGCGGCGGCAGCGCCGGTCCGCCCGCCATGAGCGCCCCGCAGCCCCGGTGAGTGGGGCGGGGGCGCGGGGGGCGCGGGGTCCGGGGGTCCGTGCGGTCCGGGTGCCCGGGCAGCTCCGGGCACGCCCGCGGTCACTCTCGGCCTGTCAGCTCTGCGGGGATAGTGACAGGGCCGGGGCCGCCAGCGGCGCATCCCTGCAGCCCGCGCCGGCCGTGGGCTGGGGGTAAGGGGGTGTGGATGCCCCGACCTGCCCCACACACCCTGGGGTTCCGGAGCGAGCGCCCGGGCCCCCGACTCTGCCGTCCAGGTATCGCCTTCCCCAGCGCAGGGGTGATGGAACCGCGGGAGCCGCGCTGGGGGCTGCAGGTCATTCCCTCGTTGGCCGGCTCCAGACCTGCAGGTCGTGAGTTCAGAGAATCCAGACTTGCCCGAGCTGATATCAAGGACAAATAGTGAGAAATGGAGAATCTCTGCAGGTCTCCATGACAAAATTTGGCACATCCTGGTGTATTGGGTGATGCTCTGAGTAAAGAAGCAATGATAGAACTTGCTCATGTCCACACAAGAAATCAGTAGCAGAACAGGTGTCCCTTTGCTCTGAGTTCTATGTCTGGTTGTGTGGCTGCGCTTCCTTAGGGAGGGAATGGCAGACAGGTGCCAGGTAGAGAGCACAGGGGCCATGATACCCTGTGACTCTGCCAATCAATAACTGATGCCTTGGTCCTCTCTCAGATCATTTATTTGGTGATTTAATTGCACTGTGAAATATTAACTGTGATGATTTGCTTTGCAAAACATGTAGGATGCCTGCTGTGGCTTTGTCTTCTTATCCTTCCAACCAAGGAATAGTGGTCTTAAAAATCGTTGTGATACACAGTGCTTTGGGTAAGATGCCAGCTGAGAACAAAGATACTGTTAATAATAATAATAATGGCAATGATCATAGCATCATAGAATTCTAAATAACTGTAAATATAAAATTACTGACCTGACAGTGACATGTTGTCACTGGCTGTGATGCCAGACAAACAAATGTGACACTCATCTTGAGAAGAGCTTCAGATCTACTCATGGAAACTACAGATCAGTCAGTCTAGGTTCTGTGCCAGGAAAATTGCCTGTAATTCTAATAAAACTCCAGCATTTTGGAGAGAAGAATGGACTGGATAAATGGGCAGAGAAAAAGGAGTCGAGGGAGTACCCAGAAAAGGGATGTGATGGCTGTGACACACAGGCTGTATAGAGCTGGCTAAGGCTAATGCTTTCCCTTTGCTGTGTGTTTTCTTAAAATGGATTTTGTCAGTTCTGCACTTCTGCCTGCTGGAGAGGTTTTAGAGGTGACGTTTTTGTGTGGTTCTTAAATATTGGAGTGTGGGAGAAAACTGCTCAGACAAGAACTTTTGTTCCCCTTTTGTTGATACCACATGCAGGAGCAGAGACCAAATGGGACAAGTGTTTGCTTTGCTAGGTTGTCCTTGCCTGTTCCCGAGGCACTGTCTGTGACGGTGTTTGTGGCCACAGAGGGTTCTGGGGCTGGTGCGAGGGCTCCTCCAGGCAGCATGACGTGGCCAAACCCTAGTGGATCCACTTGCGTTCTTTCCAATGCTTTAATTGGCTTTGGTTCAGGCCCAACATATTTCTTTATTTCTCCAATGCCCCTTTTGAACTCTGAATTTAATTGAGCATTTTTGAGGACCAGCCTGTTTATAATTCAAATGAGAAAATACCTGTACAGAGACATCCGTGCAACAGAAGCTGCTGCATCACTGTGCTCAGGTGGGAGCTGCGTTTTAACTTAGTTATATGGTCCAGGAATTCTTAGATGCAAAGCAGTGAATGCAAAGGAATTGGACTGAGTTTCTCTTCTGCCTCGACATGCAGTTGCTGGGTGATACCACAAATCGGTACTTATCACAACTGGTGGAATCTGGTGGTTTCAAATGCAAACTCTGGATTAAAAAAGTAGCATAGAACAGTTGCTATAGTACCAGTCCTTAATCAACAGGCATAACAGGATAAGCTACATTGCTTGTTTGTTTAAAGTTTAATTTATTGTTGGCAGCTACCTGCGAGGTTGTTGTGAAACCCCACATAAGTTCCTATAAATGCATGATCTCTTTAAAAAAAAATAAAATTGTTCTTTCTTTCCTTGAGTATGTTTTTGTGTGTGGCAGCTCAGCCTGGCAATAGACATTTGACTGAATTATCCAAATGAAAGGGATATAATAGAGGTACAGTGGCATTTAAATCTACAGCCAAAGAAAACAAAAGATATTAGTCTCTTGTTGTGTAACTAAAGCACAACCTGCCCAGAGAGCCCAAAGGTCAGGCTGAATGTATTATGCAAGATGCACCTGAGTGTAAATTGTACAAATGTAAATGGATTTAGAATATTATTTAGAGTATTATGTCACCGACTTCATTATTTGTCCTGTTTTACAGAGGGGAAAGTAGGATACAGTTGTGTTAAGAACTGTTTAAAAATATATCTGTTAATTATGGATGCTTCAGTTTCTGTGTTCGGCTCTCACATGTGAGGTTCAGTTTTTGGAAGGTTTGATCTTTGGTAGCTGTGATGATTGTGGTGAGGCCCTGGCACAGGCTGCCCAGAGAAGCTGTGGCTGCTCCATCCCTGGAAATGTCCAAGGCCAGGTTGGAAGGAGCTTGGAGCAACCTGGTCTATGAAAAGTGTCCCTGCCACCAACAGGGCATCAGGCAGAGTGGCTGGGGAGCTGGTTCTGTGCAGCTGGAATCCAGCTCCAGGTACTGTGTGGGACTGCCATGCCCAAGGTCAGGGTGTATCATCCCAGGGGGCTGCTGTGGGAGCTGGGGGTGGTGGAGGCTCTCCGGGCTGGGCCTGTCAGCCTTTCAGTGGTTCCACACTGAGCTTCTTGGCCTTACGTACAACTCACTTGTTTCTGATATGAATTTTCTGGAGACCAAAAGATGTTGCTTTCACATAGACTGATGGACATTTATCTTACCAAATAGGGCGTAATTCACCAAGGCAGGTTTTTTTTGCAGCAAATTATTGACTAGTTCTGTTTAACTTAAACTGTAATAATTTGTCAGTCAAGGGGATTATAAATATCTGTATTGATTTTATTGCAGATTTCTTGCAACCTACAACAGCCTTACAGACAAACACTTGGTTGGATATTTCAGCAATGCCAGGATAAGACAACACCTTCAGAGATCAGGACTGGTGAGACTGAAAATTTTCCCTGAATTCAACATTTAATTCAGAATGTTTTAATCCTTTTTTTCTGTATTTATTTTTGCTCATGGGAGTTTCCCTCTGCAAAGTCTTTCAGTTTGCAAAAATACAGCATCATGTTGATTCACTCAGGGTTTTCACACTGAAATATCTTTGACTTGACTGGTTGTTTAAATAGCTTCAGTGTTTTTTTTCAAAAGTGTTTAATGGAAAGCTGAAGGATTTACTAAAGATGAATGTGCTGAACATTTTAAAAATCACCAATGTGCTCCTAGGTGAGACTGTTTCACGCAGAAAGGCAGGTGCAGCCCTTAGCAGTAGGAAGGCAAGTGTTTAACTCCCTGTACCCCCTTGGGCAGTGGCCCGTGAGGAGTAAGACTGAGCCCTTGTCTGTTAGAAATGTGGCTGCTGCTCCCTCCGTTTGGCTGCTGGGGCCCATGGGGTCAAAATCCTGTGCTGGAACTCATGTTCCAGCAGCATGCCAGGGGCAGAGGTGGTAGCTAAGCAGAAGGAGAAAGTGGTCTTCCTGGGAAATTGCAGTGTTTCAAAACATACTTTATTCCATCTTCTCCTTTTCAGTAACATTATATTTGTGTATGGCAGATCTCAAGAAGTGGAAGAATAATACCTGAGAAAGAATACCGGCTCAATGCCATGAGGAGGGACCACCAGAGATACGTCCAGGAGTGCCTGGCTCGTGCCATATTTCATAAGGTCCTTGACATGGAGGTATGCCCTTACTGGGGGTGTGTGAGCCTTCTCAGGTGCTTCCGCGCTGACAGCCAGGGTCTGTTAACTTGTACTGAACTGTTTTCCATATGTGCCCTCATGCTCCCCTGGAAGGCTCTCTTCTGCTGGGAAAAGGGACAGTCTCTGCTTGACATTCTGTACAGAATTACCTACACAGGCCTCTCATTGTCAAACCCTGCTGTCACGAGAGCAGGCACTGTCTTGGCTCCCTCGCTGCTCTTTGGCAGCCTTCAGATTATGGGATGATATTCACAGGACTAGTTTTCTTAAAAAAATCCTAATAAAACCAAAACTGTTTGAATACTTTTATATTTATCATCTGAGTACAAAATTTGGGCACATTTCTGTGGCATATCAAGAGTGGAGTTGGTCCCTACAACTTTACCAACTTTACCAGTGCTCAGTTGTTCCCTTGGCTGTGTATATATACACAGGTGAAATGCGAATGGATTCAATCCGTAGTAGTTTTATTACCAGGCTCAATGAGGGTAACAGCCAGGGAGAAGGCACAGGACAAGCAGGACAGAACCAAATGTTGTTGCATTCACTGACATCTCATAATGCCCATTAATGGGATTTCTCTTCCTCTTACATTGGCAGCGTCATCATCAGCTGGAAATAAAACGGAAACTTGAATATTCTGCAAAGAAGGAGAGGGTGCAGAAAATCAAGGTAAGGCTTGAGTGCTGCTGGGTGCTGATGGATGTTCTCTATTTCCAAAGCATCTGTAGTTTTACACACCTTCTTCATATTCCTTCTCAGTTTTCCAAGCTGAAGACCCTCAGTCTGAATCTTTCTTAGCTGAGCCATTCTAAGCTTCTCACTACCGTTGCTATTGTTTTACTTTCTCTAGTTCTACTATTTCTCTTTTGAAATAGGGAACCAGAACAGGATGAATAATTCAAGACCTGTTCTCCTCACAGTAATTCTAGACCCTCTGTGCTTTTGGCTGCTGCTGAGCGCTGAGCTCATGTG